GTTATACCCCTTCCTCCCCTACTTCGCTAACATATGAACCAACATTTTGCTCAATATTGAAAGTACCGTCTTCTGATTCTTTTGATGACTGCCTGTTGCGTTATCATAAAATGCTACAGAGACCTAATTTAAAACTAATGATGGAGCTACTGAAAAAAATTAACGTATTTTTTGGCAATTGTTTTATCTCACAACATGCATGGCGTCTTTTTTAATTATACTGGGGTGCTACTCCAATATATATAACGGCTTGTTTAGGACCCCACTTTTAAATTTTAATAGTTTATTACATTCCCGGAAAAATACTTCAACCAACATTAAACCATAACCGAAACATTGAAATACTTGAAAAAAATTAATATAAAGTATAGTAATCAAAAATGCATGACATACATCAAATTTGCGTAGTTCTACGTCATACTGCGGTCGTGTCTAGGAAACAACTCTCTAATTTTTTTTACAGATCAATAGGGATATGAATGTGTATACATGCTTACACGTTCATTGGTATACATATGTATACATGTGTATATGTACATACTTACACATTGATTGGTTATTATTACTTTTGCTGAAATATGGCATATTGCTGAGAAAAACATCTTTTTTCAGTTGCATGATCGACGAAAATGTCAAAAGTCACGCATTGTTATTGTTTTGTCTAAGGTGTTGGATTTTGAAATTTAAGTTAAATCTTTCTTGTTTTCGTGGTTTTTAGGCAAAAATCAGCACATGTGGGTAAATTTGAATGTAATATGCATTTCTAAAAAAAAAATGATAACCAGTGCTTTTACTCGTTTCTAAGTCAACATTTATTTAGCGGTTTTGGTACATTGCTCTTCTCACGCACTTCTCATACTCTCAGCGCTAGATGGCGTTGCTAGATCGCTGCTCCTTTATTCATTTACGCTGCAGCTTCGACATAATCTGCGTGGCTGCTCTGTTGACGGCATTCCAAGTGACCTCCTCTCGACACATTTCATTGGTGACATTCTCCATATCAAGGACGAACCTTGGACAGACGAAGACCACATGCTCCGGCGTTTCGTGCACATTGACACACTCCGGGCAGAGGAGTGACGTTGTGTATCTCAAACCGATGCAGGTATTTCCTGAAGCAGCCGTGGCCAGACAGGAACTGCCCAAGTAACAATTCTGCAATCATTTGGCATGCACTCTGATTTATGATGATTTTATAATGGCAATTAATAATCCATTTAGTTTAAATACAGCATTTCACAGTGTAAAACGTTCCTGCTTAGTAGTTCACCTTTTCGCTGTTTTAAAAACCTTTAACAGTCTGGCGAGAAGCCAAAAACTGTCTTGTTTTAAAATTAAATTTAAAGTAGTTCTCAATCCCACCATAAAACTGTTCTATAAATCAATCATAAACTTCATTAGCAATTTTTTATTAATGTCTTGATAAAATACTCTATAAACCCGTTATATAATTATCAAAGCAATCATAAAACCATTAGGTTTTAAATGAGAGTAAAAGGCATATATTGTTGCCTATTAGGCTTTTAAAAGTGTATCATAAAATCTAGTCTGTTTACAAATTGAACTTTAAGGATGGATCCTCATAGTGAATAAAAACCAAATTTATGACAAGGATATCTCGAAGGAAGTTGGAGGAAAAATTCAAGCGATGCTAACGATCGAAGGGAAGTCGATTTCAGTAAAATTTAGTTCTTTAGAAAAAACCAGCACGTCCGGCGGAACGGGTACCATCAACGACTGAGCATCTGGTGGAGAAGAGTGAAGTGAGCGTGGTCCTCAAATTCATAAAACATTGTCAAAACAGCCTGAAAACAGACCAGCCTTCTCCAGACCTTGCGAATAGATGAAGATCGGAATAACTTGCGTCAGTACCGACAGCAAACCACTGAAACTGTCAGTTAACAGACACTAGTTGGTTTCCGATCCATAGCTGCGATTTTGTTCGGCGAAAGGGTCATCACTTGGGAAACATTAATTCAACCGTACATTCCTGCATCGTTTGATGGTGCACTTCCAGAACCATCCGGAAGAAGGGGATCTTTTCGGGAATGATCGAGGTTACAGCTGTGCGAAATGCGAAATGTTGTGAACACGTTCTGAGTAACTGCTTCCAAGCCATCGGGAGAGAATCGCCTGGAAGAACGCTGAATCGCACTGCGCAACTATCGAAAGATAAACAAACTTTGACGTTTAACATTTTGTAGGCAACATTGCCGCCATAAATGCTGCCATAAATCTGAACGGGTTAGGATCAAGCAAAATGGCTTTAGATAAATACAATTCAGTCTACGAGTTTTCTTCGTAAAAGTTATTTCAAAACCTTATGAGTTTGTAATGGATTTCTTGAAAGCAAAATAACTTTTTCACAAATGGCCCATGAAAATCAACTTTTATGCTTCCGCCATATTAAAATTATTTTGTTTGCTTTTTTACAATCTTCGATTTTCAATCTCTATTTCCTTGGATATAACTTTATTTTAGTTAATTTAGCTATGAGAAAATATTTAGGATGCAAAAATCATGAAAAACAAAAATCTTGGCTAAGCTTGATTATCGATCTGAAGAATGTATTTCTTTCTTAATGTATAATAATTAGTAAAATCGATGTTTTCCGTGGGCGGACTCAAATTTTTCGATGTTTTCACGTACATTTAACATCAAATTTTATATGGCACCTAAAACTAGGCCACTTCATGAGAACTATTTTATAATTTTGGAAATTCGGCAGGATTTTTATACGATCAGATTATTTTGATAAGATCGGATGGTATTTATGCATCCTTTTTTATCTTGATTGTTGTTTTTTTTCTAATGAACTTAGCAAGTGCCTAGGGTAAATGGCTCGGATAATGGTTTTAATTGTTGCCAAATAGCTTTTATTGTAGCTTAAATACGGTTTTGAAATGGATCTCATTGCGTTTATCGTACAACCATTTTGCAGTAAATCAATCTAGAAGAGCTTCGAAAATATATCCTTCAGAACCTTCTCCAGGGTGGGCCAACTAGACAGATTCGAGCATCAATGAGGTTTTGGTGGATGCATCAATGGTAAAGCAGTCTTGACCAGGGTTTTATGAATGTTGTTTTATAGTAGCTTTGTAGTATTTTATAAAACTTAAAATGTTACTTGGGTGCGTCAGGTGCAAGTTGACTTCTCTTCCTCCGACTCCGCTTTCACCACTTTCCGTACTCTTCCGGCTTCTCTACATCTCTCTACACGGCATAAGTAAATGTATCCAAAGTTATTTCGAAATTTTCTTTACTTTCTAAAATGATTATACACTTTTCAAAGTCATTACTAACTGATTGATTTCTTACGGAAGTGAATCCAATCTTCCGAAGTAATTCCAAAATTTAATGTGGGGTTATTCAGTACTTTCCTAAGTGATTCCGAACTTTGCTGAAATTATTCAGTACTTTATAAAGTTTTTCAAATTTTCATGAATTGATTCAGTACTTTCCTAATTAATTCCGATTTTTTCTGAAGTGATTAAGTTATTTCTGAAGTTATTCCAAACTTTTATGAAGTGACTCATAGACCTATTCTGCACGGCGTGTGCGGTGAGGCGGCAGCGAATTGATGGTGATGTGACAATTGTCACCTCGGGTGAGGTGAGTCTCCGTACAAATCGGATGGAGAGTCACCTCACCATTGCCACTTTTTCATTGATTCCAAATTTTTATGAACTCATTCAGTACTTTCCGAACTGACTCCGAAATTTTCTGAAGTTATTTAGTACTTTCGGGAGTGATTCCAAACTTTTCTGAAATGATTTAGTACTTTCTGAAGTGATAATGAACTTTTCTGAAGTGATTCAGTTGTTTCTTGAATCCAAACTTTTCTGAAGTGATTCAGTACTTTCTGAAGTGATAATGAACTTTTCTGAAGTGATTCAGTACTATCTTAAGTGATTCCGAACTTTTATGAAGCGATTCAGTCGTGCTCAAAGTGATTCAGTACTTTCCTGAAGTGTTTCAAAATTTTCTGAAGTGTATCCGAACATTTCTGAAGTCATACACTACTTTCCGAAGAGATTCATATTTTGATTCAGTACTTTCAGAAGTGACTCAGTACTTTCCGACGTCATTTCGAACTTGTCTAAAGTTATTAAGTACTTAAAATAGTATTTTCGATGGGTTTTCAAGGTGATGTAATATTCAATATAGTGTTTCAATACGAGTCGAAGTGATTCTATGCTTATGACAAGTAGTGTATCTTATAAAACATAATGATTAAATTTCCGAATGATTTCCCAAGATATTTTTTTTTTGAATAATTGTATTTTGTTTGAATCGAAGTTAGAGTTGAAGAGACGGAGTCGGAGTTGTCCCAAAAAAATAAACCCAAACCTTAGAATTTTGAAAATTTTGCTCGGATGAAAACATATCTTAATTCAAAATCATGGTTTTTTCCCTGGATTTGAAAATCAAGTTCCTTAATTTCTAAAAATACCATAGTACATCCAATTTTTTCATCACATTCGAAAATAAAATAATCAATGCGGGTAGGGTAAACGCTCCAATAGTGGAGGTACGTTAGTGCAATGGTGTGAATAAAAGCTAGTTTGAAAGATTTCACACATTCCTAGTAGTACGTCGGGTCAACAGTTCCATAAAACTCGCATGTTCGTTGCATGCCTTCAACCTAATACGGCTGACATAACTTCATTCATTATGCATGTTTACTGGTAATAGTGATATGTAATACCAGAGGAGTAATAAGGAGCAAAATGTATGCCACTTGAAGGCACCATCAACCTTCCAACGATGCTGCATATGCTACTTCCTGTTTCTATACATTGCTGCTGCATACACACCGACAACGCCGTATGCGCTGCCAAATTGCCGACACAGTCAATAAGAACACACGGCTCTGGCTCCATCTTTGCGCATGTCCTTTCCGTATGCACCGTCTGTCGCGGCTTGGTGGAGGATATGTTATTGGTTTGGCAATACACAGACATCCCGTTGTGATGGAGAGATGAGATCTCAGACTCCGTTGTCAGTATCATCTGCTGTTTGCTCTGCATGAAAGGCGACCTCGATCCTAGTGATACCGGACTGGACGTCGGTTATCATCCGTCTGATATATTGGATAATCTTGGACGACACGCGACCAGTGATAGTAAAGTAAATTAATGGTGTTGGACGTGCAAGCCAACAGAACATAAAGAGTGGTGCCGGAGAAGATTGGCAGTGATTCTGAATTGTGTTGTCTTATGAGACAAATAATGTAGGAAGAGGTGATGTGGTGGCTAGAGCGTTTCTAAATTTAGTTTATTGACTATTATGAGATGAAATTATTAAATCTAGTTGGTGTCAAGTTCAGCTTTTAGGACGCCTGCTGTTGCTTGATGTGCGCTTGTAGCTGGGTGCTTTATTTTGGCCCAGAGGAGTTACTCTGATGAGACTGAGACGATAGTGTGACAATGTGGATATCTGCTAGCTGTCATTTTTTGCGTGTTAGATTTTAATAGATGTGATTCTTAAGTGAGAAACAGTGATAACAAATACAACGGGATTTTCGGTCAGTTTTGTGACTTTAATTTGATTAGGGTGAAATAAAAAGGTGCCATTAGCAGCACATAATCCAATATGCGGCGTGACGAAACCTACAGGCGTATAACGCGAGAGAAGGTGGTGGTGCGAGGCAACACAACCATCCGGACGCTTGATTCGACCGTATCTTTTTTGCCTATCGTTGAATCGTAAGTAGTTTACTTCGTGTCCGGTAATGCTATTTTAATGTAAATTAATTCTAAATATTTGGCACATCTTAAATGATTACTTACATTTTTATTTCACATGTTTCTAAACCAATAAATGGTTATTTAACCAAAACATGAGTTCAGGCAAGGTTTACAAATAGCGAGAGGACACCGTAACATAATACATTATTTACACACATGTTTCCCTCCGTTAAGGAAATTGGATTTCTGCTATTTTCCAAAGAAGCTTGAATTATTTATTTCACTCTCAAACATTACATCCCCCAGATTAAAGTAAATCTAGAACGCGAGTTAGAAAACCACCGACCTGGGTTTCTTTTTAAAAAATATAAAAGACAACTTAACCGCTACACTACTGAACTAAGACTGATTTATTATAATCGAATTATGCTACAGTTCACCTTCTCTGCACACTCAGCACCTCGCGCGATGAGTACTAAGTCCAACGATCGCCCTCGATGCCGCTGCTGCTGGGTTGACGAATTCTGCTGATCGATGCCATGCTGCTGTTGCCGTGTTGATAGAAGTTGCTGACACCGTCGATGAAATTTGTACAAGTCCAGGTAGCGGGGTCGTTAACTCGCCCCTCCTTAGTGATGAACCTCCAGGGGCATAATATCCGCTATTGTACGTTTTTTGAAGTTATGAGTGATCTCCTTGGCCTCCGTTTTTCCATGATGATCCTTAACGTTTGGAATGGTTTCGGGAATGGTGGTATGTAGCTTGACCTTGGTTGTTCTGTGGGAGAAAATACTGAGAATAGCTAAACCGATTACGATAGGAATAATGGTTATTCCTCCAAAAATTGACCAATGTGGAAAACGCAAGCTATTGCTGTTTAAACGAAGTAAATCCAAATCTTTCCGTGCCTCTATTTGAAGCTTGTGAAGGTGTTCCATACTAAGGTTCAGTATGTCACCGTGTTTGCTGATAGGTATTCCGTCCAAAGGGAGGTGAATGGGTTTTCCAATAATATTTCGGGTTTTACTTGTATACGAAACGTTATCGATTCGTGCCGTGCAGTTTTCGTATTGGATCAAATATGATCCGGAAAGAGTTCTCTCGGTAGTACCACAATCGGATGATAGGGTAAAGTTGCTTGCTGAGTTGATAAGTATGTGTTGCATGTCGATTGGCATGACTTCCTTCTCTATGGGGTTTGACGTGTAGTTACATATAGATGCTTTTCCATCTAACAGATTCGGTATGCATGTACTATCGGCTACTTCAGTATCTTCAATATTGTAGATAGTTGATTCTAACGTTTTAACGGTAAATTTTGCAGTTCGATGAATCAGGAAAAACTTCTTGGTTGCATGGATTTGTCGTTGACTATGGAATGTTGGATATATATGAACTTTGCGGAAAATTCTGAAATCTAGTTTTGGCATTTTGATGAATAGTAGCATCTCTCGTTGATTGGTGACTATGGATGTTTTGGCGTACGTGACGACTTCCGATGATGAATGAACTGTAACATTCTCTCTCTCTAAATCCTTCCTTAACATTTCTAATTCAGTTTTGGTTAAAATTTTTTCATTTAAAATCCCTAGTTTAGCTAACATTATAGTTTCGATTATGTTTTCTACTTTGTAGTTTAAATCTTTAAGATTGAAGAGAATGTTTATGGAATGCAATTCTGAGGATTTTGATCTGAATAGCTGAATGGCTTGTTTTGTTTTGAATACTGTTTCCTTAAGTTGTAAAGTCATTTCTCGATTAATTTTTACTTGTTTGTTATTGCTATATACCAGATTATTGATACTAGAATTAATTAATTTCAAATCATTTGCATCGGGAGATCCTGCTATAAATTTCCAAACGGTGCCTACGGCATCCCATCGTTTTTGCCTTTTAGAATGGATAACCTTTCCTAATGAGTCATTGATATCATCAAATTTTTGTATTATAATTTCGGAAAATTGATTCCTCTCTATCTCTTCAAATTTATTTCTCAAATCAACAATATGGAGTCTTAGAGCTTCTATATTAAAATGGTGTATATAGTAGTAGTATTGATATTGAATTCGGCCAATGCCATGGTCGTAAATGAAGATTGGTCCGTCGATTTTCTGTATAGTCAAAGTCCAAATCTGCGGCAATAGTGCCAAGAGTCTGTAAATAATGATAAATTTTGCGTCAGTCAAATCTGTCTTATCTTTATGTCATTTTTATGTATTTTCCTGCCATCGTCAGTCGTTACAGTACTTCTATTAACATTACTTATTTTAACTTTCTTATACCTATTTTTGTACTTTAGTCTTTGTCTGGTCTTCTCGAAAGCTTCTATGTTACTCTTTATGTTTGCATATTTTTTGTTTTTATTGATATATGTCAAGTCCTTTTTTTGTTTGGTCTTTAAATTTTGATAAACAGTCTCAACTATAGTCGAGGATTTGCTGGAGGGGATGATAATTTCGTAAGGGGTATATCCGGTACTGGAATGAATCGTGGAATTGTACTTGTGCATAGAAATATTCACAAGGTCGATCATTGATCTTCCTGGGTTTTCTGTTTTCGTAATTCGATAAATTTCCAACAATGTAGAATGTAGTCTTTCAACGGCTCCATTCATTTCACTGCGTCCTGTTGCTGTAATGTATGTTTCAATATTATATGTATTGTAAAAGTTTACTAGTTCTCCCGTCATGAATGATCTCTCACCATCCATAACTAGAACTCCTGGTGTTTTATATTTTAGAAGAATATCTTTAATAGCAGGAACCAAATCAATTGCAGCTCTAGATTCGGTCATTTTAATTTGTGCAAATTTTGAAAATTTATCGATATACGTTAAAAAGTGGAGATTTTCTAGGAAGAGGATATCTATGTGGGCTATTTGGAAAGGACCGGTAGGGATAGGAGTTTTTTGCACGGGAAAATTTATAGGGCTTCTGTCGTATTTGCATTCGTGGCAAATGCGACAGTTTGTAATGAAATCTTTTACTTTCTGTTGGATTTTCGGAAAGTAAAATTTTCTTAGAATTTGTCGTTTGTTTTCCTCAGCACCCCTGTGTGCTCTGAGGTGTGTATCCCGAACAATATTCCACTGCTCATCGTCCTGGCAGATATCTTCCAATAACCTCTGTGTGAAACGGATTTTTAACGATTTCTTTTGTCCAAAATGTTCTTTATAGACTTCTTGTACCCTACCCATAATTTCCTCTTCTGTTAATAATCCGTTTACTTTACCTGGGTCAAAATGTGTTTTCAATACCTGTAGGAGAGAAGCGTTGTTAATTTCATTCATATAAATAGTTATTCTTTTGAAATTTGTGAATGGGGTTTCGATCTTAACATTATTTATACCTTTTTTAATAATTACCTGATGCTTGAACGCATTCAATGGTGCTTCGGTAGAAATAATGTAAAAATCATCGCTTTTTTCGGCTGAGTGTTGTGTACCCGTTAAAGAGCATACTATCCGACTTAAAGCGTCGGCGACTACATTAGTCTTTCCGGGTTTGTATTCAATTTGATAGTCGTGCTCTTCGAGATACGACTTCCACCTTTTTAACTTCGCGTTTGTGTTTTTTGGTGATAATGAAAATGTTAACGGTTGGTGATCCGTTAAGATTTTGAACTGTGTTCCATATAAGTAATTTCTAAAGGTTTGTAAAGCCCAGAAGATTGCGAGCATCTCTTTCTCTGGTACTGAATACTTTTCCTCAGATTTTGACAATGTCCTAGACGCAAAATGAATAGGTTTGTCTTTTCCAACTTCTCCTTGAGACAATACTGCTCCAATGGCAAAATCAGAAGCATCAGTAGTTAGGAGAAATGGTTTGCTGTAATCTGGGTAAATTAATATATCCGATGACGTTAAAATATTTTTCATCCTTTCAAAACACGTTTTTTGCTCAGAGGAAAGAGAAATTTTTTTGTTCGAATGAACTCCCTCCCCTCTTAGAAGGTTAGTGAGGGGTTTTGCGATTTTCGCAAAGTCCTTCACGAATCTTCTATAGTAACCCATCATACCAAGGAATGATCGTACATCCTTGATTGATTTAGGTTCAGGAAATGCTCTAATTGTTTCAATCTTTTTTTCATTGGGTTTGACTCCATCTGAACTAATAATATACCCTAGAAATTCTACTTGGGTATGCAGAAATTCAGACTTGTCCATCTGTATTTTTAACCCTGCGTCATTTAAAGTTTTTAATATTTTTGAAAGATTCTCCAAATGTTCGTCGAGCGATCGACCGAACACTATTACATCGTCGATGTACACATAGCAAATTTTCCCTATGTGCTCTCTAAGGATGTCATCGATGGCTCGTTGGAATGTCGCGGGCGCATTTTTCAACCCGAACGGCATTCTAGTGAACTCGTACTTTCCATTGTTGATGGAAAATGCGGTTTTTTCTATATCGCTCTCTTTCATTCGGATTTGATGAAATCCGGAGGCTAAATCGAGAGTCGTGAAATATTGCTGTCCTTTAAGTTGTCCGATGACATATCCAATTTCAGGCATTGAATACCTATCAGATATGGTTTTTTCATTGATTTTTCGGTAATCAATCACCATTCTAAATTTTTTTATGCCCGAAGCATCAGCTTTCTTCGGTACAATCCACACTGGAGACGTCCAGGGGGATCTCGATGGTCTGATAATACCGTCTGACAGTAATTTTTCTATTTGTTTGTTCACTTCATCGGTATAGGCGGCGGGATAAGGGTAAACCCTTTGATGCACTGGTATGTCATCAGTAGTATTAATCGAACACTCTATTCTAGTTGCACATGTCAACTTGGAATCTGGTTCGTGAAATACTTCTTTGTTAGTATTCAGAATTGATTCTAACTTGTCTCTTACCGATTGACTAAGATGGTCAGTTCTAAAAGTGAGATTAGAAGATGATTCTACTGTTCCAGGACAGTATTGCAAAATTGGAATAACTAGCCGTTCATTACCTTTTTGTAGGGAAAGAGTTCCCCTCGAAAAATCAATCGCGGCGTTGAGTGCTTTTAAAATACTA